CTTATACCTCCGAGATCACAGATGCGTCTGAACGGGGACAGATCGAACGCGGTGATGACATCACGACCGCAGATGTTCCAGATTGAGTTCATGAGCTGCATGAACTTCACCATCTCCTCCTCAGACCTGAAACACACACACACACACACACACACAAATATATAAACATCTAAACGAATATTTGAAACGCAACGTTTAGGGGTTCACATAACCCATACACTAGATGTCGCCTTGGGGTTCTAAGCATGCGTCAAAACCGCCGCCATCTTGGAACAGGGGTCTTGTCATAGGAAGTAGCTCTAGGTAACGTTGCTATCTCCGCCTGTACTTCAAATTCATGGATTTTCGGACTTTTGTGCTGCTTATGGATGTTCACACGAACGAAATCTGAACTAGGAAGAATGTTTTTTTTTTTTTTAATTTCTCTGGACTCATTGATAAATACGTGTCTGACCATTGGAACGAACCAAAAAAACTAGAAAATCGCATTCATGACGATTTATGGTGATTTTATTTCCGTTAGACCTTTGCCTGCATTGAGGCTGATGCATTAAAGAGGAGGGGCTCCCCTGTGCCCTGATGGCGGCTCTATTGACGCATTCGTTCCAATGAACTGCCGTAGCCAAGGCGACATAGTGTATACATCTATGACCATAACCAGAGCTTTCATGTAAACATACGAACTGTATTTGGGAACCAGACAACAGATTGCAGATGCAACAGTGAGAACAAGATGCAGACGAATCGATTAAAACTTTTATATATATATATATATATATATATATATTAGGGGTGGAACGGTACATGTATTCGTATTGAACCGAAACGGTACGGGCGTCACGGTTCGGTGCACGAATGTACACGGTATAAAAATATATAAAACTCACGTGCAAATTAATTAATGTAATGCGGAACTACTGTTGGATACGCTTTCTTTAGGGACACATAATCTGTACCATCGGCTTAGCTCTGAACGCGCGTGCACTTCAAACGTTGGCTTTATACGCGCGTCGCGTCCTATTAGCTTTGGACTAGCGTCGAACTAGACGCGATAGACGCGAATTTGACGCTCTATTCGCGTTTGGTGTGACCGCATAATGAACAGGCTGCGATGTCAAGATTGCAATGCTGGACTGTGTGTGTGTGTGAGAGAGAGCGAGAGAGGCGCGGGCGCGATCGAACTGTGTGTGTGTGTGTGAGAGAGAGAGAGAGAGGCGCGGGCGCGATCGAACAGTGGAAACATAAAAAACATACTCCGTCATTTTGTTCATACAGATCATTAAACCTGCAAAGTGTTTACTTATATTTGTGTACACTCGCAATAAAACACAACATTGTGCTTTTGTCACACTGTAAACTCTTGTCAAACTGTAACCTACAACTGTCACTCAACCAAAATCACACACACACACACACTGTTTTAAAAGCAAAACATATTTAACCAACTCCATTTCAAAACAGTCTGTGGGTCCCATCATCTTTTGGACATTCGTCATATTGCATTGGTTTTCATTTCTTGTCCTCGGAGCAGTAATTTCAAACACTCTACATTGATTAAAAAAGAAAATCGAATGTGTTTTTAATGGTAGTATTATTTTATACAGAAATTAATTATTTATAATTCAGATGAGAATAATGTTATTGTTAATTAATAATGTTAATTAAAATTAAGGAAAACAAATATATTGATCTGAAATATAGCAAATTAATTTTAAATTAATTCAGGTACAATTACCAAACATATCGCAAGGTCTTTTTGTCTTTTTAATAATTTAAACTAATTATATAAAACTATTGTCAGTGCACTACAAATAAACTGGTTCTTTGCCTTTATTGATAAAAACTTATTAAAAAAAATACAATGCCTTCTGCATTTTTGTTTTGCTTTTCCCTCCATTGTACCGAAATCGTACCGAACCGTGATGTCTGAACCGAGGTATGAACCGAACCGTGACTTCTGTGTACCGTTACACCCCTAATATATATATATATATATATATAAAATCAATAAAAGTGACAAAAGCACATAACAAAATTACAATTTTTTTTAACTGAAATTAATATAAAAGCTAAAAATATATAAATAAAAGCTAAATCAAAATATAAATACAAACTCAAACTTTCAAGCTATAACCATCAAACTCGGGTCAGACCTTCAGACTGTTATGACTCTGTATGCTGTATCTCACACACACACACACACACACACACACACACACACACACACACACACGCGCACGCACACACACACGCACGCATGCACGCACGCACGCACACACACACACACACACACACACACACACACACACAAACTCACGCACACACCTCACCTGTACAGGGCTTCAAACAGGTCTTTGGAGTTCGTCCCAAAAGCTTTCTCATACTGGTTCTTCCCGTCTCTGAGGAGGAAAAGTCACGATAAAGAAGAGGAAGAGGAAGAGGAAGAGGAAGGTTAGCCGGATCCCAAACGGAAGGTTTCTCTCACTTCCCTGACACTGAATCAACATCGACTCGACTGAGTCTCTAACACACGTTCCTGCTCTTACTGTGAGTGATTCATCAGTGACGTTATTCTACAGAAATAAGAGTTTGTCTTCATAACTACTCATCAAAACACAGGATTTCCTTTTCAGCTGATGTCATGATTTCCTCTATAATGACTATATAATTAACCCTCTATAATGAACCCCCTTTATACAGACACCATCATTTATTATATAAGCTGAAACCAGCGTTTCATGTAGACTTCAGGTGTCTCTCGCTGCAGATATCAGATAACAGCAGTGACTCTGTGAATAATATTTAGAGAAAAAAAAAAATTCTTAAAGGAACAGTTTATTGAACCTTTAGTCAAAATATATAAAAAAGTTTGCATGTGTTTTTTGCTGAGTATTATATGTGATACATCAGGCTTTTCTCACTCATATAGCATGATATAGTGAGAATATGGAGGAATAAACAGCTACATTTTATTCAAATGCCCAAACTGAGCAAAAATATGAGTTTTTTTGCAGATGCTGATATTTATATGGACAAAAAGTAAGATGAAAGTATTGTAAATCAATTAGATCTTTATAAAAGTACAGCAGATACTTACACAAACTGCATATAAATATCAATATCTGCCGATTAGTCTTAGTAAGATTATATTTAAATGCTTAGTTTTATGATCAAATCTCTGTAGTTTTAAAACATATAATGCAATGCAATACAATGATGATTGAGAGATAAATAAACCTTCATCAAAGCCTGATGATTAAATATAATACTCATGATTTAAAAAAAAATCATTCGTACAATTCATACGAATTTGGTAACTCGTAAAATGTGTACGAATGAGCAAAAATCGTATGAATTTGTACGAATTAGCCACCTCATAAAATTCGTACGAATTGCCGTGAGAATGGGTTGCGATAAACACACTGCGTGCTAGAGACGCATTTTCATGAGTCATTTGGAGATCTTATGAATATGCAACAGATATGATGAGTAGCTCCTCACCGCACGGCGTCGGTCAGGTAATGCCAGCACAGGTAGATGGTTCTGGAGCTGTACTCAATCGAGTGATACAGAGACTTCGGGCTGGACTTGGTCAGAAACACGCGGGACATTTCTGTGTTACTGTAGAGAACTAGTAGAGATGTGGAAAAAAGACAATTATTCACAATGCATTTACATTCAGCTGTACAATATTAAAGCACTGAGGAACTTATGAGCAGAACTGTACTTTACTGAAGATATTAAGTCTTATTTTCTGAAAGATTTAGAGTTGTGAAACGATTAAAGGGATAGTTCACCCCAAAATGAAAACTGTCAGTAATTACTCTCCCTCGTGTTCAGGGGCGCTGCTGAGGATTTTGGGCCCCATGAAAAGAATCTTGACAGGGCCCCCAACATAGCTGAGACTTTTTTCATATTAATTTACATAAAATCATGCGCTTTTATGGTTTTTTGACTATCATTCTCATATATTTAAGTCAATCAGACAATTGAACTCCATCCCATGTCCACACCCGTAATTTGTCCTCTGTAATACAAAGCCAACTTGTCGAAAAATGCTACCGTAGAGACCTGGGGCCTCATGTACAAAGCGTGCGTACGCCATAGCTGTCAACATTGAACATTGAAAATAAGGGAGATTTCCCGGAATCCATCCCCAAAATAAGGGATTTTTTTTTTTACACGATTCTTAACCACAAACTCTTAAGTGTCACCGGGCCACCGGTGGGCCCAAATCCATTACATTTTTAAAACAGTAATATCCTATATTAAACCTTAACTAATCTTGACAAACTATATATCTGTTACGAATTGCGTGGAAGCAAAGGCGGTAGTCGGATCTATGCAGCAGTAGACTTTAATAATGCAGACTCGGGTAAACTCAGAACAGCCAAGACACTCGTAAATACATTCAATAACTGACAAAGACAGGGCAGAAACACAGGGCTTAAATAATAAGAGACAAACGAGCAGACAGGATAACAAGGGGGCGTGGATAACAAGAAACACCTGGGATAACTAATGACAAGACACTAATGACACTAAACATGACAGGACACAAGACCCACATTATGACAATATCATTTGAAAGCTTACAATCTCTAGTTTCCATATTTGGTGATTAATTTTCAAAATAAATTACAGAGGAGCCGTAATTTATCAATTTGCAACAATAATATTTTCATACTCCTAAGGCGTGTTTAGACCTTTATTTTGAAATAGCAATGAACATGAAAAATCATAAAAGAAGGGTAGAAACCTCAGTTTGTTTTCATGCCAAGAGTTTAAAGATAGCATCCATTCAATTATTTTTAGAAAAAAGGTCTGAATTTTTTTAAATATAAAGAAAAAAATGATAGATTCACCATTTGTGATGTGGCAGGAAGCTATAACGCACATATTTGTTCTGTTTATGTGTTTCTTAGAGGTTGAATTCATATCAAAATCTGCCATATTACTTCTGAATAGGATGTCTACTTCATAAATTGTATGAAAATTGTGGAAATAATGGTTCAGATCACTCAAAACACATATGGAAATGGAGGCGCCCTTATGCAGTAATGGAGTCTGTTTGTCATCTAGTGAAAATGTTTGGTACTGCGCCCAAACAAAATCTTACTGAAAGCTAATTTTTTTAGATATCAACCTAAAATTTGAAACACGACTTGTTCAGATTTTTTGGCTTTGATTTTTTTGCAGTTTTAGAGTCGCCCAGGTTTTGAAAATATATATTTTATATAAAATATGAATAATAAATTTTTTTACAATGTACATTTTCATAAACTCAAACTTCTATAACTTTTTTCTGTTTCACTTTCTTAATTTATTTCACTTCTACAAAAATGCCAAATGTCTTCTTTAAAACAAGACCAATCTTACGTCTATATTCCAAAGCAGTCTTGAATTACAACCTTTTAAGTTCGAAATGTGCATTTTCATGTAGGCCTATATTCAAAAAAGGGGGGTGACACTTAAAGGGTTAAAAATAACGCACTAATCATTAAAAGTCTAAAGAGTTTATAACTTGCCTACAAATGTGTGAGAGAGAAAGAGACAATGTGCGTGTGTGTATGAGAGAGAAAGACACAGTGTGTCATTTAAAAAAAATATATCATAGAGAATATTTTAATACTAATATCAGCTTACGTGGGAAACGGAGGCGAAGTTAGTTGGTGCTTCGGAGGATGCTGGAGTGCTAGAGATTATTGGGAGAGGTCCGTGCACCTTTACCGATCAGAGAGCGCGCCGACACTTGCTTATTCCATAGACTGTAAAAGGTTTATTCTCGACGCGTCGCACGAGCGCGGCAAAAGTGACAAGTTCGGTGCGCAAGACCTGTTCTGACGATTTGTGCTGCCTTGTCGAAAAATGCTACTGTAACGCGAATCGATCACAGAATGTCGATTAATATTATATGAAATACAATTATAATACAATTCTAAGTTATGAGTAGCTACTGTATACTTTAGACTACTGTTTTTATTTTTAAAACGGTGTGAAAATTAAAAATTATCATCAAATATTCATCTTTGACTTGTCAAAGCACACTTTTCCTTAGTAACTGAAACTTTCAGTTATTATTGTTCAGCTGGCTGACCGTACACATATTCATATGCTAGTTAGCATTTTTAAAGGGAAATTACAATATAACACATGAAAATGTACCTTTTGTTATAAAAAACTGTGCGTCTGCACATGCGCATGACCATTAAGTAGCAAATCTCGATGGGTAGCATGAATCGTCAGAACACCGGCAAGACCTCATTTCGCTTAGCTGTGTGCACAGCTTTTTTGTAACAGCGCGCGCGACACTGCATCCGAGGATGAACGACTTAAAGCCGAATCTGTCCGAGCGTGTACGTCTGTCTCACACAATCAGAGCGTAAAAATACGTTGCCTGGATACAATTTGGGCGGACTGAACCATTTTATGATAATCGAGAGGGGGAGAGGGGCCCACGGACGTTTGTGTTTCCTAAACAAATAAAAAAAATTGACACCAGGAAACAGCAAATAGAATAATTTAAAGTTAATAATTTTTACTATCAAATATTTTTTTTAGCACCACAATTTTATTTGGGGCTTCTCTGGGCCCCCTCTTAGTCTTGGGCACCGAGAATCGTCATCGTTTACCCCCCCATTTACAGCGCCCCTGCTCGTGTTGTTCAATCCCGTAAGACTTTCATTCATCTTCGGAACACAAATTAAGATATTTATGATTAAATCTGAGAGCTGGATCACTCCTCCATAGGCTTCTAAGAGATCGAAACTGGCCGGCCCAAAAGTTATGAAAGACATCGTTAAAATAGTCCGAGTGACTACAGTGGCTCAACCTTAAGTTTATCAAGCGACGAGAATACTTTCTGTGCGCAAAAAAAACAAAGAAAAATAACGACTTTATTCAACTATTCATTTCCTTCACTGTTGGCCTCAAGATTTCACGTAGTGTAACAGCGCAGCGCTTCTGGGCTGTACGTCACACGCGTGAGGTACAAGTCTCACACACATGACCAGCGTCGGCCAATCGTGAGCCTGCGTGTGACGTACAACACAGAAGCGCTGCGCTGTTACACTACGAAAGTCTGACGGGGTTGAACAACATGAGGGAGAGTAATTACTGACAGAGTTTTCATTTTGGGGTGAACTATCCCTTTAATAGCGATAAATTGCATCCAAAATAAAAGTATGTGTTTACATAATATATGTGTGTATAACTATTTTGTATATATAAATACAGACACATGCAGAATTTAAGAAATGTATATACTGCATATATGTTTATAGTATAATTTATTTATATATACAGTATATATTAGGGATGTGCATCTCCATAGCTGAGGCCGATGCGATACGCATCTCGATGCATAGCCAACGATACGATACATTAAAGATACATATAAGCAGCTACCGATGCGATGCAATACGATTCACTACTATTACGATGCGGTGCGATCCGGTTTCGATTCGATTCAACGCGATGCGATTCAATGTAATACGATGCAATGGAGCAAAATATGATGCTATGGAATTCAATATGGTATAGATAGTTACAATTTTTCTTTCTTTTATTCAGACATACAGCAAATCATAAAATAGCTTAAGTGCCATCTGACTTTTAACGCATGGTTCTTTCATCTTTTTTCACAAAACCAAAAGATTAAATAAAAGCAGGTGCTGTTTTAACATAAACAATAAAAAAAATAAAAACCTTTCACAAACAGGTCTTTCATAACTGTATTCAAATGTAATATATATATATATATATATATATATATATATATATGAAAAACTATTATTGGCAGTCACAGGCTGCTGTAAACCAGATAATAATAATAATAATAATAATAAATTTTATTTATAACGCACTTTACATCAATTCAATGACCTCAAAGTGCTACAATGCAAAACAAAATAAAAACAGAAACATTAAAATAATACTATTTGCCATAAAAGGCTTTTCTAAAAAGATGGGTTTTAAGGCCTTTTTTAAAAGAGTCCACAGACTGTGGGGCCCTTAGATGGACAGGGAGAGCATTCCAGAGACTGGGAGCAACTGAACAGAAGGCGCGGTCACCCATAGTACGAAGCCTTGTCCTCAAAGGCTGGAGGAGGTTGGCCTGTCCAGAGCGGAGATAACGTGATGAGGAAAGGGGGGTGATGAGTTGTTTGAGATATAGGGGGGGCAGTGCCATGGAGGCACTGGTGGGACAGAAGGGAAACTTTGAACTCAATCCTGTACTGAACAGGAAGCCAATGGAGCGATTTGAGGATGGGAGTAATGTGGTGGTACTTCCGCACACCCATCAGGATCCTAGCCGCACAGTTCTGAATGTACTGCAGCTGCTTGATGTTCTTGCTTGGGATCCCGATGAGGAGTGCGTTGCAATAGTCCAGCCTGGAGGAGACAAAGGCGTGGACAAGTTTTTCTGCATCGGGGAAAGTGAGCATTGGACGGAGTTTTGCAATGTTCCTGAGATGAAAGTAGGACGTTTTACAAAGATATTTAATCTGGGCCTCAAAGGTCAAGTGAGGGTCCATTCTGATACCAAGGTTTGTGACTGAGGATGAAAGGTGGATGTCATGACCAGAGAAGGTGATGCTGGTGATGGTGGATGACCGGGTCTGGTGCGGG